TTACAAAATTTTGATGATAATCCATCTGGCAGTATACGAAGAGCTGGGAGCAGAATTAAATTAAATCTTACGTCAACTACAGTGTGGAGAATTCTCATTGCAGATGGACTTCACCCATATTATTACCAACGGGTACTAAATTTACTACCGGAAGATTTTCCGCAAAAAATAAATTTGTCAGATTAGTACTTGTCAATATAAAGTTGAGCATAACATACAATTTTCAAGAAAAATTCTCTGGACAGAAGAAACTACCTTTACAAGAAGAGGTATCTTATAAATCAGAAAAATAATCATCTTTGGTCGCAGGAAAATCCCCATGCAATTCGTGAGCATCTTTTTCAGCACCAGTTTCAGTGCAATATGTGGTTGGGGATAATGGACAATATTTTAATAGGTCCGCATTTCTTGCAGCGTCGAATCAATGCGGACATATTTCTGGGATTTCTTAATAACGATTACTATGATTTAGTTCAACATATTCCAGTACAACTGAGAAGGGACTAAATGGTTAAATGTTAATTATCACAATCAATGGATTGGACTTGCAGGATCAGTAGCTTGGCCTGCACGCTCTCCAGACCTGCCACCACTAGATTTCGTTGGTGGGGGTTAAACATAAAGTCTATGCAAGTCCGGTCTATGACCTTAATTCCTTACGAAGAGGAATAATTAAATATTGTGAATAACACATATCCAGATCCGTTTTGCCACTACTGCTGTAGAAGAAAGATGCCGAGCCTGTCTTAATTCTCAAGGAAATCACGTTTAATTTAATATAACGTAAATAATTCATAAAAATAAAAATCTGTAGATGTGAATTTCGCCTAAACAAAGCCTACGGATCTAACTTTATTGGATTTTTTTTTCTTGTTATTAGGTCCTTCATATTTCCAGTTTGGCCACTTAAGCCTAAAACACCCTGTATATATATATAATTTTGTTTGTCCATCCTTCCTTATTTTGGATTCGTTTGATAACAGATTGTTGCAAGTCTATTCCTATTGTTTCTCTATGATTATTATACATATAATGCAAAAGCCAATTGTGATTCTTCGATTTCGGATCAGAAAAGCTATCAGAATGCAATTGCATATGCCAGTAGCAGGAGCAATCATGAGATCAAAGAGGCCTAATGCAATGTCCACATCCTAATTACAGCTTGATCGGAACTCGGCCTCATCTCCCTGTACTATTTCAAATTAGCGTTAGTCGTTGCGGAGGCATTTAGGAGCCTCTGATGGGGAAAAATGTGCTCGTATCTATTCGAGGATTTGCACGTCATCGTCCGGCCATTGTGGTCCGTGGTGAGTCCCATTGTTTATCATCTCATCAAGGGTAATGATAAAAAGTAATTTTTCGCCTTATGGACGTCTCTTGTCATAATGATTACCATTGTTCATTGTATTTTAAAATCTTTATTGGATATATCTGCAAAACATGAAAACTCAGATTAAATACTACGGTGGTAAGACAGCGCTATTTTTTTTTTCAAGATGGGTATCATAACGTGTATATTAGCTGCTACAAATTGTGCTACTTAAGAAATTTTCAAGTTCTCAGAAGCTTATTCTATTTTATTTGAATTAAATTAATAAACCTTTGCTCACTCGTAAAAATGAAAAGAAAGTATTTAAACAAAAGTCTAACTAAAACTAAATACATTCACTTCCGTATTTAAATCCATTTGGACATACGCCTCTCAGATTCAGTAGAAAAGACGCACTTTCAAAAACTACAATCCTTCAAATCAAACACAGCAGTTCCCGGGTATTTTTTATAAATTATTTTTTATAAATGTTTATAACAAAACTTTATGTACCGATTTTCGACAAACATATACGTACACTTTACTGCCGATTTAATATAAAACTAAACGAGCATATTAGCAATATATACGGCTTGGCTATGGATTACTTACCCGTCTGGAGGCGACTGAGGAGTTAGATGTGAGATCTCCTCACTTGAATCAAGTAAGTAAAGAGTAGTATTGCCCAAATGCGAGACCGAGACGAGTCTTGGTCTTGCAAACTCAGTCTTGGTCATGGTTTTGGTCTTGCGCAAGAGTCTCGCGATAGTCTTGCAGTAACTTATTAGCTTATTACTATAAAGATATTACTGTAATTTTTTTAGATAGGAGAAACCTAACTAAGCCCGAATGAAAAATTAGAGGAGTTAAATGCAAAAGTATATTGGTAATACCAATTATTTATATATAGTAACTAAGATGGCCACGTATTAGTAACTATTTTGCCTTAATTTGTATTCAAAAAATCTATTTTTTTTTACCAAGACCGATTTTGGGCAACACTAGTAGTGACCAAAAAGAGGTGCTGCTGGTTGCTATCCTTCCTCATGCATATAATGCCAATCATTCAATTTAACAACCAATCTGATTGTCACACGAGTTCACATACTGGTGCCGAAAGGACTTTTGTGGTGCCGAAGGAGAAGGAACTCTGGTATTAATCACCCACCCTCTCCTTTGACTCGGCAAAAAAAACAAAAAAAAAAAATAGCTTAAAAGTCTAGCTGGGTGGGGGGGGCGCAAAAAAAAATGTCGGATAAATATCTAAAGAGAAAAAAACTGTAACTTTACATACATTTCGTTACTATTGTTTCGTTATTTATCCTTTTTAAATTTAATATAGTATAGTTATCCATATTTTTTGTCATTTCCAGTTGTTTATTTTATCACATCTCTTTGTATTTTCAGATTCTCTTCCTTTTTTCTATTCTAATAAAAGTCTACATTCGTTAACATTGACTGATCCTTAAATTATAATAAACTAAAATGTTCAAAATTTCTTTCATAGACAAAAAGACAGCTTCGCTTTTTATCGCAAAATCCAACGGTGATCAATGATGAGCAAGGAAAGATTCTAGACATTATCCCAATCGTGAATAAATATGCATCCATATACATATATCTTGGGGATAATCCATGGATTAGAGGACCTCGAGGAATCCATTGCCGTCCCCAATGGCCTGGATTAACATTCTCCCTAATTCCTCCAGCCATTTCTCTATTTCCCGTTTTCTTTTCCGATAAGGAGCCGTTAATAGCAGTTTTCACTAATTAGGGAAAATAACTTTTGTGGCGTTAGTGAGGATTCGCTTGGAAGGCTATCTTTAAGGTGGGTTTTGCCATCACTATCAACTGGCTCTGTATCTAAAATTCAGTGAATTTGTTTAAATATCAAACTACTTTTATTTTTTTCCTTAGGAATTTCTTCAATATGAAGTTTTCTTCTATCAAACTGCTTCTTCAGCAAATTCCTCCATCTCTGCCCATCCATCCTTCCATCTAACTTCGGTTCTTCCTCTCCTTTTACTATCTGCTTCCCAATTCATAATTATTTTTTGCATTCTATAGTCACCCATTCGTTTCACATTTTTTCGTTCTTATATTAATTTAAATATCGATTAAATCCTCAAAGTTTTATCTTTAAATATTTCTTAAGTAAAAATAATCACATTTCTAATAGTGTTTTGAAGATGGTCTATTCTCCAATTACTGCAAGTATATTGATTTGTTTGAGAGCCTCGAGTAAGCCTCATATTATTTTTTTACAAAGTTATTGAAATATTTTCGAACAATACTGGTAAGGCATAAATGATCAGCTTTATCACTAATACCAAATTAAGACTGATATTAAACAGATATCCTGACGCAAATAGATATACGTAATCACAGTGACTAAAGGAATTAAACAGATATAAAAGCAAAGTTGTTTTCTTTTTTAAACCATAAGTTTTTCAAATCTATTACAAAATTTATAAATTAGTACTGATAAAGAATCATTTTATTTTAGATATATTCGCAAACCATAGATTCCTTTCCATTATAGATACGTACAGTATTTAGGAATGATATAAAAAAAAAAATCTCAATATTTTTTTCTTTTTACTATTCTTATAATTCCAGAAATGCCGTTATAAAATAACTATAATAAGTCATGCAATATTAAAAAAATGCTATATTCTTTTTTTCAAATTAGAAAATGTTCCGCAGGAAGTTGTTTGTTTGAAGTTGTTCTTTGCCTCATAATCATATTCAAACACTTTAGCAACTTATTAGCATATTTTAACTGTTAACGAATGTTCCTCAATTACTTGGATTCATGTCACATTCTCATGCCATGTTGAAAAAACAAAAGAAAAATAGATGATGTTAGCTTAAGGACCACATACAAATGCTTGTCATTATGGTATTCCAAAGGTATTTGAGAAAAATAAATGGTCACTGTATGATGCAGCTAAGAAATATTAAAAAAATAGGCTTGTTGTATTACATATTATATACTTTAAACTATGTGCTACAAAAATAATTATTTATATATCAAACTACTAGTATTGAATATATTCTTTATTTTATTTTATATAGCTGTATTTTTTAATACTGTTAACTGTATTTTTTTATATGCTGAAACATGTTTAAATTGATGAATTTACCCGTAGATATTTTAAATAGAGTAGTATTCTTTTAAAAGTAAAAAAAATCCACTTTTCGGAGATTATTATTTAAAGTTTATCGTAGGGGAATCTTGTGTACATAAGTAATTGTTTTTTTCAAAAAGGTGGTTTTTTAATGTATCTACTGAAGTATTAAGGTAAACTGAATACATGAAAATTTTTTTTTTCGAAAAATTCTTAAATTATAAGAAATTGAAATATCAAATTTTGATTTTCTATTTTGGAGTGGTATCAATAGGTAGTTTCTATAGATAATATGTCCAGGTCATCATAATAATTCACAGTAATTGTAGAACTTTTTGTTAATTTATTTGTAAATTTTAACGTATTTATTTTTACAAAAAATTATTTTCTATTTATAAATTAAGAAGTCACTATTACCGTAAAAATAAAATTACAATAAAGATTGTAAAAAAATATAGGATCTAGGCACCTTACTATAATTATTCTTATATCACTACATCTATCAAATGAATCCTAAATATAAATAAAATATATATATATATATATATATATATATATGTGTCCAGAAGAAACTGCTATAATTTTCAATTCATAAACTAGAATATAAGTTTATTTAATAAATTAAAGAAAATAAATTATTAGTATTAATAAATTTATAAAATGCAACAAATTCCATAATATTAAAATACAATTTATTCAGTAAAATTTTATTATATAGAATAATAATAAGTAAATATTTTTATTTATTGTAATATTTTCTACATATCTATATCTACCACGAATTATAAATTATAATGATTTTGTATTTAAAACTATGTATTTTGATAATTTCAGCTGTCGATTTAGTAGACCATATTTTTTTATCCGATTCCGACTATTCATTAAATAAATTAGTTAAATGCATCAATTGAAGTATAATTTTAAGAAAAATATAAATGACTTTAAAAATACATAAAATTTTTAAATCAATATATAATATAAAAATCAGTTCTTCATAAGGGACTGTGATGTTTAAGAGTTTATCTATGTATTTCCTCAAATTACATTATTCGCTTTTTAGTTTGTATTGAATCTCTATTTAATATGCTAGACTGGTAATATTTATTTTGGAATAATGGGTAATTCACTTTATTTTTTTATTCGAGAAATAATTATTGCTGGGAAAAAAATAGTCAATAATAGAATTCTGTGAATAAATTATTTATTAATTATACTGTATAAAAAAATAATTAAATTTAATGTTCCTAGGTTTTTGTAAGGATTTAGTACATTGCAATGAATTAAATATTTGAATATTATATGAAGGTAATGAATTAACTAAAACCTTACTTAAAATTGGTTAGTTAGCTCATAGTGATTGGTAATATATTATATATTTTGGAAAATCAATCAACTATTTAATTAATATATAGTTAATCATATAAGGAACATCATAATTGAATAAAGAATATTTTTTTAGTAGTTATTCGAAACTGAATAAAGTTTTGTTTGAACTGTAACCAAATCTTATGAAAGCATTGGCTTCTTCTTCTTCTTTCTTTTTCAACTAGATCTTATGAAAGATCTCAATGTTGTTACGAGCTCAAATCCTTAATAATCTATTTAGCTTCGTTTTGCTAACAATGGCTACGAGAGATCTCACTATTCAGTCAGTCTTCGGTGCCTCCTCTGGCCTGGAGCAGTTCGACCACATGTTGATGGCTAGCCTCCTTGGCGAAGAACAGTGGAGTGTGTCCTTTCCTGTCCTTGGCGTTTACATCACTACCACAGTCGAGAAGTACAAGTGCTGTATCCAACTTTCCATTCTTGGCGGCGTGATGGAGCGGCAATCTTCCTAACCTGTCTTCAGCTTCCAGGTTGGCGCTATTTCCAAGGAGGACCCTCACGGCTTCGATATGGCCCCCGGCAGCCGCTTTGTGTAGAGGTGTCTGCCAAGAGATGTCCTTACTCTCGATGTCTGCCCCGTGCAAGAGCAACCAGCTGAGGCACAAGTCGTGACCACGCTCCGCAGCGAAGTGGATTGGTCTCCTCTTGCTTGAGGTGGCCTCGTTAAGGTCCGCGCCATTGTCCAGTAGTAACTGGAGCACGTCGAAGTTACCTTCTTCTGCTGCAAGATGTACGCCGGTCACTTTGCCTTTCCTCGATGGGAAATCTACCCCTATTCTCAAGATAGCTTGCACTATCTCAGATCTTCCTTCAAAGGATGCCCGCTCAAGCGGCGTTCTTCCTTCTCCATCCTCATTACACAAACGTCTCCTAAGTTCGTCTTCAGATAAATCGTATGGTAACTTTAAGAATTTTCTAACAACAGCTGCATCACTGGAACCAATGCTTACCTGTAAAGTTAATTGTATTTAAATGAGAACAAAAAAAAATCAGTTTAAAAATTTATAATAATAAAGAAAAAAAATTAAAAACATCAATTTCCTTAATTAACGAAATTATTCAATAAATAAAAAGTACACCATCAAATAAGGTTAATAACATAAATAGATATGTTCGGAATGAAACTTTTACTCCCAAATAGATAAATTGATTATTACTTTAATTATTATTGTCTTATTATTTACTGTTATAACATCAATTTTTTTTTTTTTTTTTTTCTTTTTTATGGAAATGACAAAAAATGTTAGCATAGTTGATGTTTGGATGTGTAATTGTTTCCTAACACATGGATATATATTTTTATCACCTTGATTGTTTGATTTATTAATCTTAATTAAATGTATTAATAATCCTATGGTACATTGAATTTTTTTTTTAAATATTGTTGGACTGGTTTCATTACCTTTCATATGATAGAATATCCAATTTGCTGCTCAGGTTTTTTTATTAACTAAATTTATGTGTAATCTAATAGAATATTAATTTGATAACATTTGCACATATAATGTATCTTGAAAATTACAGAGAGGAAAACCTTAAAATTTGAGGGAGTGAGGTTTGATTTTTTTTTGCCAAGATTACAAAGGTGGATTATTAAAAATAATAAACCAAGTTGAACTTAATATTTAAAAGAAAATATGTCAAAACCTATGTAATTATCTAAAACTAATCTATTTACACTTATGGTCATTTTGTTGTGTATCTTTTTTTCGTAAGGTTTGTTTTTGTTCCGTCAATTTAATGAATTGCGCAACATAATACTGTAGAGAAAAAATATGACTAGTGTTAGTAATCTACCACCTTTATGACTCACGGGATATTATCGATTCTCCAAGTTAGCATCAGAAACTGATACAACCTCTTTTAAATGATGTGTCATAAACTATATTTATTTTTCAGATTGGTGTTCCACAAGGTAGTAGCCTCGGTCCCATCCTTGATAAAGTTTATACTGCTGACATCCCAACACTGTCATCACCATGTATGCCGATGACTCATGTATCCTATCAGTGATTAACTACCCTCCATTCCAAACGCTTCAACTTGAGAATCAAAATAAATTTCAATAAATCCGTCCAAATTACGTTTACTCTTTGTAACCTATGACTTCCTGTCCGTTGCCTAGGATTCCACCTGGACAAACCTTTAACTTGGAATGATTATACCTGACGAAACAACAAGAAACCTATGAGAAAGCTATGGGGCTCCACTAAACCATCTAATTAGTTATTAGATCTAATTAATCGCATCCAATCGTTACAATCCAAAATTCTTCGTAAAATATTCAATGCTATCTACGTTGTTACAAATAAAATCATCCATAATGAACTTAATGTTCCTTATGTTTCAGATTTGGCCCAAACCAGATCTATCCTTCTATAATAAACTTTAGAATCATTCCAATCCTCTCGTTTTTAACTTTGCTTCCTCTTAATTCCTAATAACCCATCGAGGCTTCGAAAAAGAAGATTGCCCTGTGATCTCTTACGTAGACATATTATAAGAGTGCTACCATTGGGTAGTTTTTCAACAAATGTTTTCAAATCATTATATCCATTTGTACAAATTTACATGATGTATTACTGGATGTACTTGTAAATATTATAAATGAAAAAACCTTTTCAGATAATATTGTTACTTATCATCATTCCATGTGTCTTAAAAAAGTATAAGTATAGGTGTTGTTTAGTGTTTTGTATTATTCACTATGTACTTTGATGAAACTTTTCTCTATGAAAACACAGCAAAGCGTAGTTTGACTACATTTGTTATATAAGAGTATTTATTTCGTCCAACTTACCGTATCAACGTATTGATAAATGAGATCGAAATTAAAAAAAAAAAAAAACATAAAAGCTTATCTTCAAAAAACAAATGCACTAGTGACTTTTTACAATAAACTACAATATATTTAAAATGACAATACTGTTTTTTACAATATTTCATTTACAAAATTTTTGGTGTCTGATTTGTTACTATAAGAGTATTATCTATTGGGTTGCTATATACCTATATGTTAGTAAATATAATGATTAATAAAATGACATGTTTTTTGTAATGCACTGTTTTGTATCTCTACAGCTATTTTAGTTCCAATCCAGCTTTGTATTATTTGCTTTAATATTGTAGTATACTTTCAAGTATACAGTAACATACCAATAGTAACAAATAATTGGTATACTATAACTATAATAGAAGTAAATATAAATGAAAATACCCACTCTTTCATTTTGTCTAGTGCAGTAAACGTTAATTTAACCATAAAGGAACCAGATTCAATGTCAATCCAAATGAAATAGATATTAATAAATAGATATGATCGGGATTTGGATCATTGGTTTGAGAAAATCCATTAGGCATAGATATCAAATTTTCGTTCTACAAAAAAAAAAAACAGTCGATGCCAAAGTGAATTGGCTCAAGGCAATACAAAACGACTGTTAATTAAAAATTAACTGACCTTAAACTTATTATGGTTATCAATTAAGACAGTTATAATAAAGTGTATGAATTTGCTTGCCTTATGGTGTTCCTCAATTCCATTAAGTTTTACAGAAAAAAAAATACCAATAAGTATGTAAAAATATTTTTATTTGTAATAAATTTTTTGTTATATCATTAAAAATTTGTACATTCTGACTAGATTACTCAACTTCTAATTCCATTCACACTTGGCCCAATTAAAAATATTTGAGTAAAATTTGCGAATGTGTTGTTCATTCGACAGAAAGAGTTTAAACTGTTGAAGCTAGTCACTTTTTTTTTGTTGATGATTATTTTACTCACTGAATAGGTTTGGGTAGTTAGGAACTCAGGTACGATACTTGTATTTTTACTACACTAATAGTACACTGAATTAATCCACCGATGAAATAAAATTTCTGGTAATAGCTAGCCAAACATCAAACGACATCTGTCTTCAGGGATCGACATCAGTCACTCAGTGCACAATCGTTAAGCTCTTTTAAAAACCAATGAATTATTGAACCATCATAAAACTTCAACAAAACATGTGATTTAAAATATCCTTCAGAAGCACTTCTATATCATGAAAATAAATAAATAAAACTCTTCTATATTCATTAATCCAAGAATAAAGTGACTTATGGCATATCTTAATTCAACGATTTGTTTAACATTTAATTTCAAATTTTATTAAATTAACTATTTACACGTTCATATGCTAGTTATTTCAATACATTATTCTATTCCTCCAACGATTTGTAAAAATTTGGCTACTGCCGTGTGCCCATCAGACAGAGCAGAGGCAAGTGGTGTCGATTCTAGTAATGACCTACTGTTAACACATGCGCCGGATTTCACTAACAACTTGACGATGTCCAAGTTGCCCCTTATTGTTGCTATGTGTAGTGAGGTTTTCCACAAATCGTCCACTTCCTCTATATTCGCTCCGTATTCTATTAAAGTCTTGATTACGTCTAGATGACCATAGGCTGCAGCTTCATGAAGTGGCATACGTCCGAGGTTGTCTTGAACGTCCAGTTTTGCACCATGCTCTAAAAGTAAACCTACGATTTCCTTATTTCCATTGATCGCAGCGAAGTGCAATGGCGTTTTTTCCCGCCTGTCGATGAGTGTCATATCTGCCCCGTGTTTTATCAGGAGGGAGACGATTTCCTTACTGCCACTTTTGGTTGCGTAATGCAGTGGCGTTTGGGCCAGATAGTCTCTCGCCACTACATCAGCCCCTTCTTCAAGCAGAACCTCAACGATCGCCAGTTGATTTGTGCTAACAGCTCTGTGCAAAGGAGTGCGGCCATAATTATCCACTGATGAAATGTCGGAACTTTGAGATATCATGTACTGTACCAACTCCAGATGCCCCACTTCTACAGCCTCATGCAGGGCCGTCAGTCCCAAGGCGTCCTTCTCTTCCACATCGAAACCATGCTCTATAAGCGTCTTTACAACATTAACTTGGCCACTTGATGCTGCCAAATGTAGAACAGTCTTTCCCCAAAGATCTTTAGGGGATACTATTTTTGTATTTTGTTCTACGAGCAACTCTACTGTTTCTAGTCTGCCTCTATCTGCTGCTAAGTGAAGAGGTGTCCGTCCGATTTTGTCTGTTGCGATCAGATTCGCTTGATGACTCAAAAGAAGACCCACTACACCAACACGACCGGTCTCTGAAGCTCTATGAAGTGGAGTCCACCCATGTTTGTCTTCAGCATTTACGTCTGCGCCGTAGTTGACGAGCAGTGAAATAACTTCTTTCGAACCACCGTCGACTGCGTAATGTATTGCTGTCCGACCGTAACAATCCCTGTGATTTACTTCAGCACCACTTTCTAGTAGTATTTTACAAACTTCAATGTTCCCGTTACGTGAGGCTAGATGTAACGACGATTTTAGCTGTTGGTCCATTGCTGATGGATTTGCCCCATTCCGCAGTAGTAGTGCAACTGCTTCTAATTGATCATTGCTCGAGGCTTGATGTAGAGGCTTGCGGTCCGATTCGTCTCCAGATTCAATGTCCAATCCCTTGTCAAGAAGCTCCTCTATTTCTTTTAATGAGCCATTCCAAGCAGCTTCATGAAGGCTTGTCCAACTACTACAATCGTAAAAATCTTCTTCGTCATCCTCATCTTTCTCCGAAAAATTTATTTTTGGCAATTGAGTTGAAATGAGCTTATCTAATAATGTATTTGAATTTATTCGAAGTATACTTTTGAAGAAAGCAAAACCTGGGAGTGCGCTATTGACCACCAAGGATTGCACACCTTCTTTAATTGACGATATTATATTTTCACTTTTGTTATTTGGTTCTTTATCACTGTCCTTCAAGATATTTTTATAATCTTCCTCATCTTGTTTGTGGTCTATTAAAGCTTGAAGACCGTCAATCTGATAACCCATAATTCCAGAAAATAGAGAAACCTGAAAAATAATATTTCGACTTCTCAAATCAGATTTGATGTATTTTCGTGAATATTTAAGTTATCTTTTTTGTAAACTAATGTTAATTCAATAGTTAATAATTTACTCCATGCTTTAAAGCTATTCACCAAAAGTGAAGTATTATATATAATTTTTGAAATTTGATTCTCCTGTTTGATGAATTTAGTAACAGCATTGTGGCTCATAGCTGTATATTTCAAAGTAGGATTCAGAAATAGAGATTCTAGATACTTAAACCATCAAGTACTTACTGGATCCGAAAGCACGTTGGATGTGGTTGCTTTTTCAGCAATATGACTTCGTAAGCATCTGGCAGAACTGCTCTTGTAGATATTGTAGAAAGGTTTCTTGTCATCAATTACCTAATACAATCAGATAATATTAATAATTTTTCTATTATCTATTAATTTATTAATTAAAACTACTCTTATTTAACATTGGTTCAAGCAAAACCACCAAATTTATTAACGATCTTATATTTGATGTATTATAAGGATTCAGAATAGTACCGCTATTCTCTGTTATACCGCTTATGTATTACTGTTATTATTCAAATTTTATAAAACATCATAAAAAGATCAACTACCTGATATTTCAACTTTTTTCGTGTTGTAACTGTCTTACAATAAATTGATCTATCACATTTAATAATGCCAGAAGCACAGCTATTGCCTGCAGTTGTCTAGCACTAAAGAGTTTTATAATTGTTCTATTGACTGAAGTATTCTATCAACTATATGCTAAAAATGAATAATAAATTATTACTTTATTAAATTTCATAATGATAAATTTATTTACTTTATGTCTTGATGCCACGATTATTTTTTTAGAATCCCACTTCAAGAAATTTTTTAAGAACCATGAATCATTCCTAACCATGTCATTCCATTTTATTCATAAATATGTTTTGATTACAGATAATATTCATTCCTTTATCACATTTTTTCACTGGTTGATTTATTATTTCATTTATTTTGAAATATGAATATTATAAATATTATACTATTTTAATTAAAACTATTTTTGTTACGTTTTAGGAAAAAACATAAAATACGAGTTGAAAGGCTCACATTATCTTTTTCGGCAGATTCTTCGCTAATAATGTCGGCGATGTTACTCCGCAGATTCAAAGCAGAACTACTTTTTGAAATATTGTAACTGCATTTGTTATCAGCTTTTACCTAGATAAAAATAAACATAGTATTAAAAAATAAATATTTATTCTCTAGTTTATTAGGTTTCTTATTATATAATATTTTTAAAAAATGAGAGAATAATATATTTGTGGATTTTATGTATTATTGCCCAAGGTTTTCGAATACTAATGTATATATATATATAAATAAACTATTTGGTAATATGTTGCTAACACTATCGCAAGCAGGCAGCTCGCAAGATAAGATAACACGTTGTTTGAACTCACTTCAGTTCTTTTTCCAGAATGACTAATTTCAGACACTGTGTTTTCTTCCTGAAAAAAAGCAAAAGGATAAATACAATTTGTGGTTGTTTCAATTAACCCGAAAATTCGCTTGTAATTATACCTTTTTTGAGATCGCATTTCTGTATCTGTCAATACTGGACTTTCGGAACCGTGTTACGGGAATACCATGACCTGTAGATATGTCTGCCACTGACCCAGATTTATATTGAATGCCGGTTGGATGCTGCAAAAAGAAAAAATTATTTATTTTATTTATAGTATTCAAATACAATGCAGGACAAAATCACATTACGTATAAAACAAATTACTCTACATCCATTGTCGCGTTATTATTTTCATCTATAAATGCCCTTTCATTTTTTCAAATTTCTTTTTTATTGTGATGGGTTATCTTTTCTTCTCTTTTGTCTATATTGTTCAACTGGTACTCCTCTGTGTCAAAGCAATATATACTGTATTTTAAATATCTGTGACTATTTCCATTCATGATGTTTTGAGATTTTTCTTCTCCGTCTAGGAGGCCATAAACTATCTCGATTTTTTTTTTTTTTTTTTTTTATAGCCTTCGACTTAAAATAAAACTATAAAACTTTAACTATGGAAAAAAAAAAAATAAAATTTTGAGTACTAAAATTACAGAAAAAAAAAATATATATATATATATATATATATATATATATAAAAGTTTTATTAACTAAACGATATAAAATAAATTACGCTTGCTAAGAAAACAAAAAACTAAGTTACAATTCCAGTAAAAATAGTTCAATACAGTGGGGTCCCAGATGTTCCTGCTAAGTAAAAACTGTACATTTCAACATTTTATACTTAGAATTTTTTAAAAACAAGCGGTTTTTTATAACATCTGTCTCTCACGAAATCACCCAATCAGATAGGCAGAGGTAGAGCTGAAGTAAAAATGCAGCAGGAGTTACTGCAGGCGTCATGTTATCAAAGAGGGGTGGTAACAAGTCTTTCTATGATTCCATAAAAAGTAAGCTTCTCATCGTCGCTTTCGTTAATTATTTCTTAATCACTGTCCTTCAAGATGGTTTTAAAATCCTCCTCAGCTTGTTTGTGATCTTTTAAAGCTAGAAGACCTTCAATCTGATAACGCATAATTGCAGGAAATATAGAAACCTAAAAATAATATTTCGACTTCTCAAATCATGTTTGATGTATTTATGCCTCTCATCGTCACAGAAGCTTTTATTGGAGCATTGATATGAAGAATACAGTTTTAGAATTTTTCACACAAATCTATTAAATTATTGCCCAAAATCCATTGATTAGTATCGATACTTTCCTCTAACAATGAACCCTGTGTCCAAATGATCGTTTTTGTTTATCACAGCTATAGATGATCATGATGATTCTTTGACCAGTCCAAAGTAATTCTTGTATGGTAGGAATGTAGGCATTGTAATGTTAAAGTTATTCAAGAAGCACTTATAGTCCTCATAGTCTTTGCAGAGATTCCTCTTTGATCTGCTAGATCTCCATTCGTATCTTGTACAATCCGAGACTTTACTGTGATAATTATATTTAAGGTAGTGAAGTCATCAACCTCTCTACGTACCCAAATCCGTGGGATTGGTTACTTCTTCTGAGCCTGCTGACCTGCTTCTGCATCCGAGAAGGCTTACATGGGAAGGTGTGTCCTATTCATAACTTTATGTTAGTGTCAGCGACTAATAATGATAATAATGGACATTTGCACTGACTGATACTAGGGTAAGCGCACCAGTGATTGACAGTACTAAGGAAAGTTTTGTCTTTTTTGGCTTATGCCGCTGTAATTATTATAGTTCTGAAATTCTCCGCTGGAAATTTAGACTTTCTAGGATCTCCATTTTCTATTTAACACTTCAGAATTGAAACATTATTCAGTTATACATGTATAATTTTCCATAAAAAAAAATACCTTGTTGCACTATTGATGGATCCGAAATTCAATAGTTCTAGTAATGGATAAGGGGTCGGTACCAGTAATGGACATGCCTCAGAAAAATTCTAAAATCTTTGACTATAAAGATAAGATGACATAAATGTTCAACTTACTCTAAGCGAAATTGTTAATAGGAAGGTATGAAACACAGCGATCTCAAGAGCACTTTAGAAACAATAAGCCATTTTAAAATTTTCTTTTAGGAATTTTGTTCATACAGTTGTCGTTAGAGGGCATTGTTCTTTAATATAGTAATAAACTGGAACGTTTCAATCAACATGAAAGCTTATTATGTACATTTAAAGCCCAACCTGTCCCTCACTGAGACCCCTGTCCATAACGAGTGCGTTCATCCTAATAGAAGAGTTTTAACATCTAGTTATTCCTCAATTACCTTAATCTATTGCTTATCAGTTTATTAAAGTTATTAACTCGAGTGGTAATACTTTACCGTCAATGTCGATTCTTCTTTTTCATCAATGAACATGGAAAGGGTTGACTTCCTCCTGCTTCTTGTGCCACGGCTTAAGATGTTCGTGTCTGAACTACTTTTGGTAATGCTGTAGTTTTGCGTAGCTTCGGAAACTTCCTTGAAATTTATATTCTTTAAAACAAACTGCAACAAGTAACCAAATAAAAAAAGAATTAAAATGTTATCTTGGACACGTTGTACATAGAATCTATTAATAGTTTCATCATCATTATAAAAATAAGGAAGCTGCAAAAGCGTAGTTATGACTACACTGCTCTGCATTAAAATCCTCCCTTTAGGAGTTGTTTTTGTGTTTTGAAGTATCCTGAACACGGACCTAAAGGCAGAAAATCTCTATCAGGCATCATTTCATGTCAAATTTGTGTTGTGGATAAAAAAAGGAGATGTTTTTCGACATTTTGTGCATCTTTTATCATTGAAAATCACAAAGAAACAAAATATTGATATTGTAGTTATTACAATGTATTACAATATTTAAAAAATCCGAGAGATCAACTGTGTTAGGCTTCAAGAAATCTTTGGGCCACATATCCGAGCTCTATTTAAAGTCTTGGAATTAAAAGAAAAATTAAATGAAAATGAAAAACTTTTTTTCTGCGTTTGAAAAACCGTGTCAACAATTTGGGCAACAAAAGAGTTACAAAATGCAGACATTGATCAACAGTTGTTTTTATCATTTAATGTTATGGATTAAATACATGTAATTAAAAGCCGTTTGCTTGCTCTCTCGTTTGTATTTCTTCCCTTTAAACTTGGGAGCAGCTTCAGATGAACACGGAAAACGGTTTCATGAAGATATAGCCTAAATGGAGAATAAATGAATGTAATGAGAAGATGCTTGTGCTGATTACTGCAACAGGAAACAGCTATAAAACGGAAAAATATACACATTGACTATTATTAAATATTTTATATATTATTATTGTTGTTCACAAGAAAATAAGTGAAGTTAGAAAAACTTGCTATTTCATTTGTTTAAAAAAAAAAACTACCTTCCGTTTCTCCGTAATGATGCCTGAATTTTTTGTATACTTGAGATTCGAACTCAGCATACATGCAAATATAAAATCTGGAAATATTACGCAAGGGAGTGAATTTTTTTTTGGAGAGTAGTGTTATTAATTGTCACTAAAAATACATAACCTTCATAAGAACTAATTATTTTATTTTGCAATAGATTTGTATACATTTATTTCAAATTGTATCTTCATTCTCTCAAACTTGTACTTCCCTGTTTCGTTATAATATATATATATATATATATATATATATATATATATATATTATAACGAAACAGGGAAGTACAAGTTTGAGAGAATGAAGATACAATTTGAAATAAATGTATACAAATCTATAATATATATATATATATATATATACAGTAGACATATATATACATATATATATATGTCTACTGTTATTAAGCACATTATATCAGTAGCTAGCTTAATATATGTGCTAGTGGACGGTGTTGAGACTGTCGGTGTGTCCCTGGCCTGATCGAGGCTCAATTTTTTTAAAATTCTAGCTTTGAAGAGATGGGATCCTCTTCTTTGTTGACTTATAAAAAGAAAATACCGCGATCGAAACGTCAATAAACATAGAAATGAAATGAACATTCAATAGTTTACTAAATAATTAATAAGTGACCTTATTCCCAATTAAATAGTTATAAGGAAAAGTTGTAAATATATATATATATATATATATATATATATATATATATATATATATATATATATATATATATATATTTTTTTTTTTTTTTTTTTTTTTTTCTTTTTTCTTCGGTATCATGATAAGAGACCGTTTATAAGAAAAATTATAAAAGCAGCTGTCCTACATATATATGTATGTATATAATTATTTATTCTTTTCTATATTTTTAAATTTACTACATTCCATTATAACAGGTCATGATGTATGTTAACAAGGCAAAACCTATTTACAATAATAAATAATGTTTTGGTATTATTATAATAAACAAGTGGTTAAATTAAATATTTTCTGTTTTTACATTTTTTTAATAAATTAAATTATATTATTTTTTAATAGTTCAGTTAGCGACAGTCAGGTTTTTTTCGGAGCTCTTCTTAATTTTTTTAAGCTCTTAAAATTATTTTAATTTCGCAGTAAATTCTTTCAATGAGTCATACTTGGTATTTATGTGTTTTCTTTTGGAAGGAATTTATTACTTTTCTGGTCTCTGATTAACTTAAGAATTCTTTAGCTATCATTTTTATAATACAAGTACTTGCATAATGACTGTTACTAATGTAGGACTGATAGAGTGAAATGAATAATTCTCAAGAAATACGTGTTATTAAATATTTGTTAATTATTTTTCTTATATTCACTGGAAATAAACATTTTTAAAAATAAAAAAATAGATGAATTTCAATGGACACGATTTTAATTTAACTGAAAAAGGACATCTTTCTTTAAAATCTCGTTTAATAACACCGATGATTCTTCTGAAATAAAATATTAATGACTATAAATTTATTAGTTAGGGATAATACTCACTTTTTTTGGAAATTCTTCTCCAGAGTATGCCGTTTTCAGCTCACCGCAATCAACCTTAAATCAAAACAATAAAATAAAAAGTAACCAACTTTTAACGATTCATTAAGAACATATATTTTATGTATAAAATATTACTACTATCTTCGGCATTATTGAACTGCTTATTTTTCTCTCATTGATGTCCGTAGATTCTTTCATCACGTCTTCATTGAGGACCTAAACATAGTATTCAAAAATCATGATAAGTCATACTCAAGGTCTTATACTTCAGCACAATAAATACCTGTGCCTGTGTTTATGTATGTGTAAATTATTTTATTATTCTTAAAACAAATACTCTATAATAATAGATCCAACGTTTTTAACTTTTTGAAGTGGTTTCCTAAAATAATAAATATATAATGTACATTTACATGAAATTAATTTGAGTAATCAGGTGCATTTATGTATTTGTAAGGTAGATGGCACGCTTTAATCTCATTTATTCGTATTTATGTTTCTAATCATGAGATCTTGCTTGCAATATAGATGAAGCATAAAATTTATAATGAACCAATGAAATTAATATACAGCATGTCTCAGTTCTTAACTCGGAGGAATGATTCTAGACAAAATCATCGGCAGAATGATTACAGTTTATATATCATTCGGCTAATTTTTAAAGCGAGGGGGGAACTCTTCAATCTAAATTACGTGCCGTGACGGGATAAAAGGGGAAATTGTTCTTTGTGCAATATGAATGCACCGGAAGATAACTTTTATTTCATATAGGTATGCCCAATAATAAAAGAGTTCAGAATAGCATTTTTACCTATGCATCCACTAAATTTTATTGAAACGATACAAATTTTAAATGGCGCAAACTACAGAAATCTTTATTTGTATTTAAAAACATCCGCTAATTATAGATGTGAATTAGTGAAAGAATATAATTTAGAATAAAAGGTATCTAAGTTTATGATCATGTATATTTGTAAATTTTGTAGGTATATTTATATTTAGAAAGAATTTTTAGTTAAAATTAAGATTTTTTTTTTTTTTGATCTTGTTATAGATATCTCCATGAATAAACTAGGCGAACACCCCGACAGACGGACATAAGTTCATTGTCAATAAATCGTTTAATTTTATGTAAAAAAAAAATGATATTACGTACTTTATAAACAAATAAACGCGTCTATCTATCTATCACTGTGTTGCTTCAATCTGTATTGTTCATTTTGTAATATATTATTGGGATTAAGAAAAAAAAAAAATCTGTAAAAAAGTGCTTTAGGTACTGCGCTACTAATTTGTGGCACACTACTCATGAGGTACAAGCGAAAGTTTTATAAAAACAACAATTTTAAGAAGGAATTCAAGAAAAAAGCAATAGAAATCAATAAAACCTAACTGCACAACGAGTGTAGCGAACTAGGGTTCCTAAACTGCCGCAAGGTAGTAGCGCAGTACATGCCTATACAAAGCACGTTGAACCAACACAGTGTATCCACCACGGAATCACCACAAGCTAAATTTTACCCGCTGACCCAAAGTTACCTCATCTTACGGTATATATATTTAAAACAATCAAACATCAAAGATCAATCTCATTAATTGACCTAAGGTTTTATCAGACTGATAAGTTTTATTGCTCTGAATTTCGAAATCAATTTTCTTGTTCTAATCGCACGGCTGATTTTGAGCAATTTGTTATAATCGTCTTATCTTTTTATTATCTGCTAGTGAATCAATCCTCATTTTTTTTATTTATTTAAAAATACAGTGCTGCTTCATGTAACGGATAAAGGATGACCCATCATTGTGGAAGTCGATTACAAAAGGGTCTATAAGAATAAGTGATTTTGAGGAAATAATATACAGTTTGTCGTACATTTTACGAAAATGATTAATTGAAAAAATAACTAAAATAATTAGTTAATTAACTATAAATAATAGTTATTTGTAAATTTATAGTTATTTATAACTATAAATAACCCCTAAACGAAATATTTTACACTTGCGTCACAGCTCATACTGATAGAATGATGAGTAATCCTGATATCCCGCAATCACTTATACGTAATGTGCGTACGCATTAGATATTCCTAAATTTAATTATCAATCTCAAAAAAACTGAACTTGTTTGAAATGTGGGTTCAAGTGTAATATTTAAAATAGAATATTCTCTGAATATTTTTTATAAAAAAGGGACATTTTAAAAATAAAGATATTTCATTTATTTAAAGCCAAAGATTTTAGTGAAAATACTTGGCTTTATAATGTTGTTATTATATATAACTGAACTGAATGAATTACTAATGAAATACTCAATTAATGAACATTTATCTTTTTACTATATACACAATTGCGTAGTTGCAGAGAATTAAGAAGCTATCATCATTAGTTTAAATTGACACAATATGCTATGATTTTTTTCTATTTGGGATCAGTAAAATTCGTATACACAAGACTATCCAAATGGATTGAAGATGCAAAAATTATGCAATCACTTGAATATTTTTTTTTATTTCTTATTTTTATAATAACAATTTTATTTATTTCTTTATTCAGTATTATAACAATCTGTCTCTTGGACATTGGTTATAGTGAGGTAGGATGACATTCACACTATATGTACAAAAAAATAAAATAAATAGAACAAAATATCTTGAATAATAATGAAAAAAACATGTCTGTTTATGCAAACCAGGCGGTTGTCTCACTTTATCACGTAGAATGTGATTAAATTTAATTTTATTTATTATAATAGTAAATTTTTCTGTAGACATTTGCTTTCGGTGGAAAATAAATATGAAAATCTTGTTTGAATTTTTTTTTAACTTTATTTTTAAACTCGCACCTTTTGGGAATACTAACAATCAGCGAGTTTGCTGTCGGCGAGAAGAGTATAGATTAATACGTTGGCAGGCATGAGGAAAAGGAGTGACCAGCGGCGTCCCTTCCTAACTTGATTTTATGTTTATAGTTAGTGGAGAAGGCCCCTCATCCAGCTTATTTTGAGCCTACTACGGGTGCCATCGGTGAAATTAATATTCGAATTTGTATGAAAATAAAAATATCTTTTTTTATTAGTTGAATTTGAAAATAATCAGAAATTAAATGCTTAGCATTAGCACAGCCCCCTCGGAAACGTTGGATGAAAATTGTCAGAAATTATAATGTTTTAATTGTCTGTTTTTAAACTTTGAATAAAATAACGTGCAATTGAAAGTTATTCAGTGTTTGGTAAAATATAGTTTTACAGTTCATACCTCGTCGGATTCTCCTGCTAGGAACTTTATGGTCTCGAAGTCTTTCTCCTGTTGACACTTCTCTACTACACGATATTTGGCAGCCAATCCCCTGAAAACCCGGAGCACGTGATCCGGCATATCGAGAATCCCTCTATTGACAAGGTGCGCTACAGTCATCAGTACCTTGGTTACATCCTCTTCCGGGAAGTCGAAGTCGTCCCTGAGCCAGACGGTTAGATAGGAAGACCTTAACTGTTCGACCGAGGAGTACAGTTTGAGGAGCATTCCACAGAACTCCAAGTCCTCGGTAAGGACAGAGTTCATGATGGCAAGGATCACAGATTGAGCTGTCGTTAGCTCTGCCAGGGTAGTCTGCCTGTTGTAGATGGAAGCGGACGCTGCCTTCTGGACCGCCAAGACCAGCTTCCTCGATATCATCTCGTACAAGATCTTGGAGCATCGCTGCACCCCAACGCAGCGTCCCGATGACTTGGGGCGGACCATGCTAAACCTGGAAATTTATATTTATATTTTTAGAAAATCAATGTAACAGTCCTTAAAAAGTTCCTAAATTAAAACTAAAGTATCAATAAGTATTGTAAAAAAATATGGCTGGGCATTGTAGTTACATACTTCTTTTTTTAAATAATATACAAAGATCATATCCCATCTATTATGAATAGAAAATTTTCTGTTTATAAAATTGTGTGATTGCACCTAAGAAAGACATACTACTTCTTATCTTCTAAAAATAATTTTACAAAAGAAACATTCAAGTAAGATGGACTAAAATTATACAAGAGAAAAGTTATGTAGATTTAATCGGAATCCTGATCTAGCAATTAGCAAAGAAAATCATAAAGATCTAATAAAGTTAATTTCTTCAGGTTATCATATCTGTTTTAGCAATATAAAAATGTATGCAATAGTGACATTCTTGAAGATGTGGAAAACTTAAACTTGGAGAACTGGAAACTTTATGTGATTTTCATTGCAATTTTATTTATTTTTAGTGTTGATATTTTATTTGTTTTAATTGTAGAATTATTATTTTCTTATTATAATATATGTTACGAAAATTAAAATTTATATTTTTTCTTCTTTTTTAAACACTAAAATCACTTTTTTATTTGTCACTAAAAATGGAAAATATGTCATAGTAATAATAATAATATATAATAAAAATACTGTACCACTACAACCCAGGAAGGGTCTTGGGTTCAATACTTTGTTAGAAAGTACTGTTTCAAGGTCAATGTCAGGATCACCTTCAACCGCCACATTTTCTCCCTTAGTTTATTATTTAATTAAAATTATCCACTTAATAGAGGCTGAGTGTGCCCCGGGAGGATCTTCCGACCCCAATGGATACCTACTCCTAATTAAAGCCAATGCTTGCCGTTCATTCATCGATTTATCGATACTTTGACCAGTTATTGATGGTCTATTTAATTATTTCTAGATGATTATGACTTTTAATTTATGGTCTGAGTATATTTATAGACGTTATTCTCATTTTAAGTACCTAAAGTCACAGATGATGATTACATTTTTAAAAGTTTAGTGTTTTGTTTAGCAGTTTTCAAGGTAAAAGTTGTTACAATTTTATATTTATATATACCATCCAGACTCAAAATCTAAAATTATTTATAATATTTACATATTTAATTTCTTTGATAAAAATAAATAAATAATAAAAAAATAGTCACAGATACCTTTTGTATGGATACAAAAAAAAAGTAGTATTATTCTTTTTTAATGTAGAAATGACTTTTGTTTCCTTAAACCAAGAAATATTAAACAAAAAATATATTATCTCAAATAGTACTGCCAATCTGCACATTGCTATCGATATATATTTTTTTATATTATTAATTATTTACAAAGTGCTTATATTCCAAATCAAATATTGAGATTTCAAACTTTATTTAAAATAGATGAAATGAATTTATATAAATGTAATCTTAGACGACACTTCTAATCTCTCAAGGTAGAGATAAATACTTGTTATTGATAGGTGTTGGTAAAAAAACAAAAAGATATTATTGTTATTTCTGCCAGACGATTTTTTTTTTAACTGTTCAAAATTCAAAATAGTTATACAATACTATTTGTATTCCTATTTTGTAAGTCTCCTAAAGCTGTCATATTCCTTACATACATATACAATAGCATCCTACGAACCACCCACTTTCCTCTTTTGTGGAAACATTCCACTATTATCCTGTTTCCGAAACCAGGCAAACCTCCCAACACCTCAACGTCCTACAGACCAATTAGCCTTCTTCCGATTCTCTCAAAAATCTTTGAAAAGATCCTCCTGAAACGCATCCTACCCTTTATAGAATCCCAAACTCTTCCTTCCCTTCAGTTCGGATTTCGTTCACAACACTGTACAGTCCAACAAGGACTGCGAGTGGTTGATCATATTTCCGCAGCATTGGAAAGCAAGCAATATTGCTCGAGTGCATTTCTGGACATAGCTCAAGCTTTCGACCGGGTATGGCACGCCGGGCTTCTTTCCAAGCTGACAAACTATCTTCCTCAGTCCTTGTACCTTGTTCTCCGTTCCTACCTCTCAGATCGTACCTTCCGAGTTCGTTGCGGTACTGAATTTTCGCATTGCTATCCAATTGAGGCAGGTGTTCCTCAAGGTAGCGTATTGGGTCCCGTCCTTTACATCCTCTTTACCGCCGATATCCCTGTCCATCCCGATACCTTCCTGGCAACTTTTGCTGATGACACCGCCATTCTATCATCCGACTCAGATCCCAACATAGCATCCTTAAATCTCCAAAACCACCTCACCTTGATTGAGCACTGGTGTAATAACTGGCGCATTAAAGTTAATGAATCTAAATGCCAACATATTACCTTTACACTCCGACGCAGTTCCTGTCCACCAGTACACTTTAATTCCATCCAGCTTCCTTACTCAGACACAATCCGGTATCTTGGCTTTCATTTAGACCGAAGACTAACGTGGAACCCACATACTAGACTCAAAAGACAAGAACTCAACCGACGATACGGCCAGCTATACAGACTACTAAACAGAAAATCCAAACTTTCTATTGAAAACAAATTACTTATCTACAAGACAATACTGAAACCTATATGGACATACGGACTTGAACTGTGGGGGACAGCAAAAGCTTCTAACATCAAACGTATTCAATCCTTTCAATCTAAAGTCCTTCGAACAATAGTTGATGCTCCGTTCTATGTAAATAACAAAATCTTACACCATGACCTTAATATCCCATTTGTTCTAGACCTTATTCCAGAAAAATTCTCCAAATTTCACCAGAACCTTACCTATCATCCAAATCCCCTTGCACAATCTCTATCCAGCACCACCCATCCTTACAATCCTCCTCGAAGGTTGAAGCGGCAGTGGCCCAGAGACCTTTTGTAAATAAGCATCTATTGGAGTTTTGACAATGGCCAGATCCTCCACTCAAGCCCGAGTGTGTATGATTAGGTTAGTTCTTTTGTTTATATACATTTATTTTATTTTATTGTATTTATTTTTATTTTATTTTATTGTATTTATTATTATTAAGTTTCTGTATTATTATTTTTTTTTATTGTAAATAGAGTGTTAGTGTGCTTTCTCTGAACATTATTATAAATGTCCTTGATGTGACAGAATGTAATATTTCTAAATAAACAAATATAAAAGGATTTTGTAAGTTCGTATAATTCCAACTTTATAATCTTTGTGGTTGGAAGAAGGTTAAGGAATAATAAAATCTACCATATTTTGGTAGATAATTGTCTATAAACGTTAATAAAAACGGTACAAGGCCAAAAACCTTAGAAAATCACTTAAGCAACATAAATAACAGCCATTGGTTACAAAATGAAACAAGAATCAGCTTGGAAGGTTTTTGATGTAAACTTATTTTTACTTTATTGTTTATTATTTGTAAGCATCATCGCAAGATAATGTCACAACGTGCTGAAGTTATATGTGTAGAAGCGATATCTGTTAAAAAACGGGTGTTTTTTTTTTTTAAAGATTAAAACAGAGACCAATGATATCTTATTTAGAATTAGAGTAGATTTGGTAATACTTTTCAAACCTGTTTTCAATATATCTGAAATTGATAACGGCAGATGAAAATATTGATATTTTCAATGTCACTGACTCCAAAAGCGATAATCTCGTGCGAAAACATTTTATCTTTTAACATTAATTTGCACAAATCAATTGTTAACTTTTGACATTCAGTGAATCAGCTGAGTGTTTCAGAAAATAATGACATGCCAAGCATGGGAAAGAACAAACATCGATTGCACCTCGGCTTATATTGTTCAAGAAAGGATATTTTTCATCCAGCTCATTTTTATTCTTCTCATCATATTCAGGGGTGTTTAGCAGTAGCAATATCCCTTATTGAACTGTTGGTATGTCCGTTTAAATTTGTATAAAATAATTTCTAAAGGATCGGTGCTGAAAGAGGAGAAAAGGAGAGTGTTGGCCGAACGAGCTAACGCTTGTGCAAACTGACAAACCGAAGTTTGCATGATAAAATTACGAGTTCGCGTTCCGGTGCCGGGGGTGGAATTAGTACTCCGCCCTCTCCCCAGACCCCAAAATATCCCCGTACAGCCGAAAGGCGAAGAAGATCAGGGAAAAAAATTTCGGTGCTGAAAATAATTTTACAAAATTTATTTCTGAATATAGATTTGAAGCAATTTAAATACAATTGTGAAATTTTTATTTACAAAAACGATTAGATATCTTATTAATACAAATTACTCATGCGTTTATTTGTATAACAGCCAGCTAAAGTGTATATCAGCTTGTTTAGTCAGCTGATATATCAAATGTGCGTAAAAACATTTCATAAACGTCAATCGAAAGCTTGTACATTATTAGTAAAATTGCAATTACTTGTATGTAGTTCGAGAAGAGCTCATTTTAAATATTTTTTTCAGCGCTGCATATCAACAAATTATTCGAAATGATTTTTCAAGGATTTCTGTTTGTTTATATTAACTTTTATATTATTTAAATTTAAACTGGTTTATGTATAAAATGATTAATCCTGTAAGTATAAGCGATGTCGATACATTCAAATTTTAAATGTATCAGGTATTTTATATTTTCAAATAGTGTGTACTCCGGACAGCTTATAACACTGTGGTTACAGATGAAGTTTACTTATGACCGGATTTAGAATTGAAACTGTATTCCTAGACATTTGATAAAAACTTGTTACATGTTACAAATATTTTTATAAAATCTCAAGAATGTTAAGTTCTCTAACTTAAATAATTTGAAAAATAAAAATATCTTTCTCATTTGTCAGATTGTTTGGTAGTTTATTATTTTTTTTGTCTTAACCAACTGTTAGGAAGAAATAGAAAATATATATATTTATAAAATTAATAATTTCAAGGAAATAACTTAAACCCTTTCAGCTCCTCTCAATGCTTCATTTCATTTTATTTATTTCGACATCGTTTCAGGCCAACTATGCCCATTTTCAAGTTGAACTTTTTATCTAAAATATTACAACACATCAAATATCAATGAAAGTATGAAAAAAAAAATTAAAAGCACATATAACAACAATCTATAAATTTCAAATAAAATCTACAATATGAATAAAATCAGGGAAATAAACTAAAAAAAGGGAGATTGATAACGGATTCTTTTAAAACCATTGAAAACGATAATGATAATAGTGAAGAAGAAAATGATAAAAACAAGACACAAAACATGATTAAAATGAGCAGTTTTTTAAATTAAAATATATACCTGGAATAACTGATTAAAATTAAACATTCATTTAAAAATATGATGACCATAACAATATAAAATTTGGTGTATGTAATAATAATAAATTAAACAAGTGTAACATATTTATGAAGGATCAAATTAAAAAAGAGAATAAACAAAATGTCATTTTTAAAATTAATTGTAAGCAATGCATAGATAAATTTTACATTCAGGAAACGTCTCAAAATTTGCAACATAGAATTAATCAACATAAAATTAATTCTAAAATCCCGAAAAATACCAATTTCACAGCTCTAGCAAGGCATAGTATAATGAATAATCGTATTTTTGATTATAATGAAATAAAAATTTTTAATAGAACGGAAGATAATAAAATTAGAAAGTATCTTTAATCTATACATATAACTCAAATATTAAAAATGTCATTAATTTTAAAATGGATATTAAGGGGACTGAACAGCACTATGTTAACATAATAAACAAATTAGAATTTTAATTAAATTTAAGTAATAAATTTAAAGAATTAAAATAGTTGGCATTAGGATATAAAAAAGATATGACGAAAATGTACAGAATTTGAATGAAAATTGTTAGTTAAAATAATTTTTAAAGACGTGTCCTACAGGTAATTTATAAAATAGATATATTAAAATGTGAAAAATTAGTGGTTTGGCCTTTTCTTATTTAAGATGTAATGTTAAATTTGCAGTATCTTAAAATTGTGGAGTGACTTTTCATAAATATCTATGAAATAATTATTGGAAGAAGGTGAGGATTAGATAAATATGTCAGTAGAAATTTTATTCATGTTGCTGATTTTTTTTTTGGAAAATTTATAGATTATTGTTGTATACATTTTTTTCATTGATATTTGATGTATTTAATGTATTGTAGTATTTTAGGTAAAAAGTTCGATTTGAAAATGGGCAAAGCTGGCCTGAAACGTTGTCGAAATAAACAAAATGTCACATAATAAATAGAATGAGAGTTAGTGTAAGGGTTTAAGTTATTTAATTGGAATTATTAATTTTATTAATTAATTAAAAATACCGTTGAAAAAGTGAAGATTTAATTTTACAAAATATGTATCTATATTTTTTAATAAAAATTAGTTCTCTAATTGTCGTTTTAGTTATTATATTTTACAGTGATAGATCAAAAAAAAAAAAAAATTAACGCAGTAATAAAAATTCAATTTCAATCCAAACAAGGAAGAAGTCATAATTTCTATTGGTCAAATATCACTAACAATACACCATGCTATTCCTCGCTCTCAATCATTACAATCTCAACATTCCACTCGATAAAGAACTTTGTAGTTTAAAGAATGCATCAACAGAAGAACTATTAAAACTGGAAGGATTTATTTCAAAATATGTTTACCCAAAATAAATTTAAAAAATCAAAGTCACAGCTGATTAAAGGAAGTTGATTCATCTGTGGTATCAATGATAAAAATAAATAAATAAAAGAAAAATACAAATAAAAAATAGTGATGTTGCAAAAATACAAGCAATTTTTACCTATACTCAGTCATACTCTAAAAAAAAAAATAAGCTGCATAAACCCATTGTTATTGAAAATAGTAACACATTTTAAATAATATTATATTTTTATTGAGTAGATATCCTGTTTATTTTCTCGTTATTATAAGGTTCTAATTATTATTTAATAAAAAATTGATGTATTAAACAATTGGATTCGTATACTTGGAAATAGTTTTTCAGTATTATAAATATGTGATATTTTTTTTTTTATTTTAATTATTTTTACATAATGATCACTCGTTTGCCCATCAATCGCTTGATAAATTTGTAGAGGTTTTCCAATTTTTTAAATAATTCTATTTATAATAACAAGTTTTGACAAAAAGAAATTCTGCTTTCTTACGTTTACGATATGACGAAATTGATTTTTTTCAGTAGAAGCAAATAGCCTTCGAAAAACACAACGCTAATCGGTATATTAAAATCTTTTATATCCTATATCAGATAATCTAAGTAATATCTCAAATAATAATACCATTCCACAGATTACCGTTGAGAAAATTGTGTCTAAACAGTACAACAGCGGCGGGAACTTTCGTCAAACAGAAGATAAGGAGATGTAGGCCATCGTAAAAGATCCACGGATGACATTCCCTGCATAACTCTGCGATAAGGAGAGGAATATTGCGCAATAGGTCAAGGAGATAAGCATTGAATGAGCGAAATCACAAAGGAGAATGGACGTGCACTTACCTGCCCGTAATCCCGCCGCGGTGCAACGCAATCTGGCGCCCTGCCTTTGTCTATCCACTTTCGTTATCATATCTTCTATCCTCTTGTCATCGCCTTATCGCTAGGCACTCCACGTTCGCCAGCCGATGTTGCCTTAAATAACAAAAACCTGGGGCAACGCAGCTAAAATTAAAACGAGCAAGAACTAATGTTCTTATCTTCATAAAAACCATTCACGATGAGTTTTTCGAAATTGCGTTACTACTATAGACAGAATTGTCGTGCAATTTCGTATTATTTTCACTAGCTTCAAATTCAGCGAAACGACAACAGAAATATGATTCATGAACTGTACATTCCTTTGACACTAGATTTATTTTCCACGAAACTGCACATTTTGGAATCACTGCACGAATTTGTACATTTTAAGGATTTCGTTTTGCATGTATATGTTTTTTTATTCATTTCTATAGTTGTAAAGAGCTGTAAAATAGGTGTAAAATCACAATTTTTACAAACTCATCAATGTATTGAACAAAGAAGTTATAAATTGATCTTTACTATATTCTTAAGCAGTAATAACATGGTGAATGATCTTAGTGGAAGGTGGACACTATATTCAGGAATGATCAAATAATTAGAAAAAAGTAAAAAAAAATATAGAAATTATAGTTATAAAATTTTATCAAAATACAACAATGGATTCCATTTGAAGTGTAAACAAATATAATTTTGATGTAATACCAAATATTTCGTATAAATATTTCTTATTACTTCAGATATAGAAAGGGCATTTTCTCTTTCGCAACATGTATGCAATTGACTAATAGGGCATTAGAAATGTACAAAGCACTGTACATGAATAAAAATAATTAACTCGTTCTATGTAGTTCTATAAATTAAAGATCATTAGTATTTTATTTTTTAATAAATCACGATAAAAAGTATAAAACTTTTGTCCTTTATTAGATCTTTCAGCCACATTTTGTTGCACTATTCAAAAGTTTTTACTGAACGGAACTCTAGTTATTACTAATATATGAACACATAGACAATGTTATAATCAGTTGGCGAGATTTACTATAATACACATTTTATTCTGCTTCATTGCAAAAGAGATGAATGAAGAATTATAAGAATAGGTAGAGGTGACAGGTATTAATTCTTGCAGAATACGTGATTTCAAGAGCCAGTGTAGGATGTGAATAAATAGGGAAATATGACGAGGTAAAGCTTTTGCAATTTTCCCTGGCAACTGCGAATGTATTTCAAAAGTAAAATTTTTATGAGAACTTCATCAGTATCTAACCTATTACTATGAGTTTTTTTTTTCAATTGACTTTTTCCTCTACAAGGGTTGAAACATGAGTACACAAACTGTAATTTGCGTCTTATTACCCCAGCTTAGAGATAAGACGATAAAAAGACCAGATATTTCAAAACATCATATTAAACCACTTAAGTGAAAAAGTATCAAACTTTATTAACACACACACACATATATATATATATATATATATATTTTTTTTTTTGGCTATAAAACAATTATTTGCACCTGACAAGTTTTACTTATGGCGATTTATCATAAATATATATATATATTTTTTATTTCGATTCTATTCCATCTTCTACAACCTGACTTATTTTTCGCATATTGATATGTTTAAAAAAGGATTATTACCAAGAAAAATAAACTAATTATAATTTGAAAATTTGATAAGACGAGCTTTACCAATAATTTCATTGATAATTTAATTTGTATCAGAGTATTCACTTATTCGTTTTAGTTTAATTTTATCTTTTCTCCTATAACTTCTAATTTCCTGTATTATACATATTTATAAAAATCATATAGATATATAATTTACTAGTTTGTATTTTCAGTTATGTCCTTTTTTTAAAAATATTTTTCTTTTATCGGTTTTAATTTCTATTTCGAACTTCATATTTTTAAGTTTAAAATTGTATAAAGTATTAGAATTATTACAAACTGAACTGCCATAAAATAAATGACTTACATATAGCATGCCGTTTCGTATGAAGTATGTAAACTTAGGAAATAAACTTCTCATGCATACGGTTACTAAAAGGCAAGTGGTCAGACCTACACCAACATGCATGCAATACCTGAAGGAACCAGAAAGACAAAGAGACGAATCAATGGTCAAGATGAAAACTTTGGCCATGCAAGGGGACATGTGGAAATGGTGGACAAAGGGCTCCACAAAAATCCTAAATACTAAGAGCAGTCAACAAGTAAATTTCTCAGATCCAGCTCATAATTTAAAAATGTGATGTAACTTAAAAAAAAAAACATTAAAAAAAATATATATATATTAAAAGGTTTTTAATGGCATAATCATCTTCCTCGAGGATTCTTTTAATTTTTGTGTTCTGAACGTTTAATCTTGAAAAAAGTTGAGTATTCTAGTTAAGTACAGGCTTCATTTTGCAGGGATGCGCGACTTGATGCACTTTGGATGATCTATTCTTTGCAATTAGTGTAAAAAAATATAATACCTCAAATGCATGGAGACCCTAAAGGATGATTTATCATGCAGGTCTTGCTTTGGTTGGAAGTTGCCATCCATTGCAGTATTTCTTTCTTTCTCTTATTTTTGTATTACTCGTTCTTTTACTTTTTTTTTTGTAAAAGTTGACATACACTGTCTCCTAGATTATTGAAGCTTGTGGAGTTCTTTCATCTCCATAGATGAGGGAACACCCATGATAATTATATTTTGTAAAAGTGTCGTCCTAGTTTCGAAAATCTGATAATTCAAGTTCTCTTAATTTAGCTATACAAACGGTAGATGTAACTAGCACTAATTATCGTAACCACAAATATAGAGGGTATACCTTCGAGCGAGGAAGCAATGAGGCGGAAAATGTACCTAAATCTTTTAGGAGGAGGAGGTCCGCGAGGACCATGACCAATTTAAGAAGTTTACAATATGAAAATGTTCTTCGGGTTATTGCCTCTCGTTCTCAGTAATAATTCCTCAGGTGAAATGCGATCAGTTTGAGAACAGTAAATAGCGCTAATAGGTCCCGCAAGGAAGACTTTTTGCTCGGTCTTATTGTAAAGTAGCGGCACCCTCCCGCAAAAACAGAATTATGAGTGCCGGCGAACATTTAGTTCTCCGCTCCGCGGGGAGGGGGGAGGGAGTTTTATCTCGGCGTAAAGTAGTCCTCTTTATGGTCCCGGCATCCGATTTCTACGAATAATGGAAGTTAATTCTTTATGGTGTCTCCCGGCTCCGGGGAGTTGCGCCTTATGGACTGTGTCGGGTTGTATACTCTGCGATGGCGGGCTTCTTAAATTGGTAATATTTCTTTATCGTGTTCTTTTAAGCATCTCAAAACATTTTCTACAAATTTAAAACATATTCGAGAACTTATTCTACATTTGGGGTGTTCGCGGTTTGGTATGGGCTGTAAAGATACTTCAAACAAAGAAGGATCTTCAGCCATGCATTAAGGTAACTGATGATGATAATAAACTCACCTACCGATTTTGTCGCTTATGTAAGTGAAATATAATAGTGACATTCGTTGTTGAAGAAAATATTCAAGTAATATTGAACTGAATCATAATGGGTTATAAATATTCAGGACGCAGTCTTTTTTAAATTTTTTTTAAATTTTTTCCAACGTTTCAACCCAAACATGTGGGTCATCTTCAGGGCGTGGTTTGAGCACTGAGGTTGTTCATGTACTGGAAGTTAGTCGACTGTTCTAAATATCATGGGTGATAAATATTCAGGACGCAGTCTTTTTTAAAATTTTTTTTTTATTTTTTCCAACGTTTCAACTCAAACATGTGGGTCATCTTCAGGGCGTGGTTTGAGCACTGAGGTTGTTCATGTACTCTGCTTATTTCGATAATTCATTTAAGTTCCATCCTACTTGTTGATACATCGAGAAAAGTAGTGATTATTGTCATCACATTATTTAATTCGTTTAATCGAATTTATTGGTTTCATAGACAAATTTAAAAAGTTCTGTTTTGTTGGTTAGTTGGTTAGCCCATCTGTTGGTTAGTACCATTAAGATATTTGCTGCTTTAACCAGCTTTATCCATCTCCGGCTATCTAAACTGAATCATACTTTAAATCCAAGAGTAATATATCCAGAGTAAAATAGTTCTTGTTATTAGCAGGTAATACTTATTACCTATAAACTATTGTCGTTGAATAATTGATTTCTTTCAACATCAAATTTCTCTTTGCCCAATTATAATAATTAATATAAATATTAATTAAATATACTAGAAGTATTCAAATTAAAAAAAAAATCTTATTCAACTTTACAATCTTAAAGAAACTAAAGAGTCTTATAGAATAGCCTGAGGTTAGAACAAATCTAAATTTATTGTTGGGATTTCACTATTATTCCAATTTTTTGTTATTTATTTGTTATATGTTTGGCGTTCCAGAAAATAGAAGGAGTTTCACATCTAAAGATGGTTCTTCGATTTATTTTGTTTTCGATTTGCTTTCCACGATTCAATATGATATAGAAATACTCAGCGTCAATGTCGGGGCTTGAATCTGGACTCCGAATTAGTTACTTTTTTCGATAATTCACTTAAGTTTCATCCTACTTGTTGATACATTGAGAAAAGTAGTGATTATTGTCATCACATTATTTAATTCGTTTAATCGAATTTATTGGTTTCATAGACAAATTTAAAAAGATCTGTTTTGTTCTGTTGGTTAGTACCATTAAGATATTTGCTGCTTTAACCAGCTTTATCCATCTCTGGCTATCTTTTGCTCTTTGTTTCTAGTTATCTGCATGCAGCTTATTTGGTTCGATCTATTCATACTGCATACTATTGAGGCGTTCATTGCTCTGTGAAGGCTTCCTGACGGATTGTTTCGAACTACGTGCTCCGCCAGTCTTAACCCCTTGCCTTCGTATCATGAGACATTGATTGGCCATTTTCTGTAAGCAGTTCCTCATAAGTCTTTCACCTCCATGCGTTAGTGTTCTGATCCCCTATCGCTCTGGTTTTTGGATGCAGGATTTTTCTTTCAATACTTCTTTCTAAGGTGCTGGTTAGAGTCCACGTCTTGCAACCATCAGAACTGGCTTTATGAT